AATCATAAATAAGTAAAAATGGTATACGTAATAAACAATATTGAATATACATAAGCGTTTGTCGAGATATAAAACGTTGAAAATATCTTATATATGTTTTATGTTCATTTTCAATATCACGTCTTATTGATTGTGTTATAAATTCATCAATTAAATTTATTTCTTCATTATCATCATCACTATCCATTTAGAATTAATATTTTCAATGAAATATTTTTCTCAATAACAAATAATCAAAATAAGAAAATAACTATTCACGAAACCCTAATGATCAACTTAACAATCTATTGGCTAGAATAAATTAACCAATAGACAAGAAGACGTTCTCAATGGTTCTATAATATTCTATTCATAAGTTCGTTTTCTTTTTTATTATTATTTTTTTTTTTCATACGTATAATGTCAGTAGCTATGTTAAGTGGTAAATCTCTTCAATGGATTTTACGTTCATCAAAATCCATTTGTAATACGTTTTTACTTGTACCGCCAGCTTCAAAAAATTTCGAACAAAAACGTTCAGTTTCATGGTATTTGGGTACAGAAGAACATCAAAATTATTTATCACAAGCAAGTTATTTTTATTCAAATCCGGAATATGCACAATGGAAAGAAAAACCAATGCGAAATGGTAATAGACAAAATAAAAATCATTATTTTCTTTTGCTTTTTCTATTTGAAATTCTATGAACTTGTTATTTTTCGTTTTTGTTCATAGAATTAATGGTTGAAACACCACCAAAACGTAAATTACGTAACTTTAAAATTAATTTTGGCCCACAACATCCTGCTGCGCATGGTGTACTTCGTCTTATTGTTGAACTTGATGGAGAAGTTTGTTTTTGTTTGATTTTTATTAAAAATGATATAAATCGTTTTTTGTTTGTTAGACTGTTATACGTGCAGATCCACATATTGGACTTTTACATCGTGGAACAGAAAAATTGTGTGAATATAAAACATATATTCAAGTAAGAAAGATAGCAAATTCGAATTGATTTACATATGAAAATTCATTTGATATTCGAATGAATCAAACGGCAAAAGTAGACGTTTGAAATCTTCAGTTACCTTTAGTGCTGAAGGTGTTGTAATACTGATATATATTTAAAATTAAAGTGATAGTTATAAGTAAGAACCATATTATTTTAATTTGAGTTTTTTATAAAACTCGATTAAAGGTTTCAGAGATCAAAGAATCTGAATGTCTAATTTGTTTTTCAAAATTCTTGAATTCAATGTTTTTCTATTATTGAAAGCCTATTTTCTGATGTTTACTTATGTTTAATAACATTCAGCTATTTGTTTGAAATAAGCTCCTTCTAAATGGAAAAAATCGAACTCGAGAATTTCGAAAAGCCGATTAGAAATTCAGATTTCTCGAATCTAAAATCAATTGTTATTAATAAAATCAAATTAAAATAATATAACACTCACTTAAAGCTATTACTTCAATGTTCAATTTAATACTCATGTACTGCACTTACCTCCATCGATGTGGACGTAAGAAAAAAAGAAGTATCATTTAAATTTTGGAACTTGTTCAATAATGAAAAGAATGCATAGACTCTATTGGATTATAGATTAATATAGAAATAAACTTTTCATTCACAATTTAGTGTAATACATATCGATCTTTCAGTACTGACACTGACTAACATTCACATACACAGAAAAGCTCGAATGTTAATTTAGCATGAAAAATTATTTCGATTTTTAGAATATTTTTTCTTCTTTTATACATAGAATAGATCATTTCAATATTTTGTTGATTAAAATTAAAAATACAAAAACGTAGATACTTGGATAGATCCAGTGCTTCTTTTTTATGAACTACAATATTAATATCATCGATGCTAAAATGAATATCAATATCAGTGTATTAGTATTTTGGCGAATCTCATGAAGAAATCATTTTCGAATTTCAACTCGATACATAAGGTAACTCTAATGAGATATAAAAAGATTCTAAAGGATAAGTGCCCTTAGACATTTTCTCGAGAATAATCTTAGTTGTATTCGAATTTCAGGCCATGGAACAATATGTACCAACAAATATAATGATGGTATTTCAACCTGAAATTTTGTCTAAAGATACTTCTCGTTGTGACTAGAATGCCTAGAAAATTTTAGCTCAAAAGAACGTTTCCTTCCGAAGATATTGAATTTCCAAAGACTACTCATATCCTGGAAAAGGTTGCAGTTTCAGCACTTTTGGAAATTCAATGTTTCTCGAAGGAAATATTCTTTTGAACTGAAAGTTTCAATACAATGGCAATTAATCTAAATAGAATATCTATGGGCATTTATCCTTTGTGTGGTTTTTTTCATATATCTCACTAGAAGCTACCTTATAAAGTCGAATTCGAACTAGAAAATGATTCTTTTGTCAGTACTCATTTTTTCAATGGACTACAGCAACGATAAAAATTTAACTATCATTATTTCGGTTTGGATACCAATACTAAAGAGCATGAGTAAAAACTTATTGATATTTTTGTGAAAAGTTTCTTTCTTTAATTTGAATAATGAACAATGAATTATGTCAAATAGATAAGTTTATTTTCAAAATTTTTTTCTATTAATTTAGGCTTTACCTTATTTCGATCGACTTGATTATTGCTCAATGATGACAAATGAACAAGTATATTCATTAGCTGTTGAACGTCTTTTAGGAATTGAAATTCCTGAACGTGCAAAATTTATTCGAAGTATTTCTATTAATTCTTTGAATATCATTGTTTGTCTATTTTTTTTGTTATACTATAATGTTTTATTATTTTAGCTTTCATGGGTGAAATGACACGTATTCTTAATCATACATTAGCTGTTGGTTGTCATGCACTTGATGTTGGTGCAATGACACCATTTTTTTGGCTTTTTGAAGAACGAGAAAAGGTATTTTTCTTATTAGATATCTTAGTTTAAATTAAATAAAAAAAACTTTAAATTTAGATAATGGAATTTTATGAACGTCTTAGTGGTGCTCGTATGCATGCTGCCTATGTTCGTCCAGGTGGTGTTGCATTTGATTTACCACTTGGCTTTATGGAAGACGTATATAAATGGTGCGAAGGATATGCTCGTCGTATTGATGAAGTCGATGATCTTTTAACAAGAAATCGTATTTGGATTCAACGAACTCAAAATATTGGTATTGTATCCGCTGAAGAAGCACTTAATCTTAGTTTTTCGGGTGTTATGTTACGTGGTTCGGGTATTAAATGGGATCTTCGAAAAACACAACCATATGATGCTTATGATAAAGTTGAGTTTGATGTACCAATTGGTGTTAATGGAGATTGTTTCGATCGGTAAATAATAGAATATTTAAATTATTCTTAATTTTTTCTTTCTTATCTAAATATTTTCATATTAGATATTTATGTCGAATGGAAGAAATGAGACAAAGTTTAAGAATAATGATTCAATGTATTAATAAAATGCCAGCTGGAGAATATAAAGTAAGAAGAAAACCAAAATGATAAACATCGAAATCAAATCTAGATAGTAACTTTAATTGTCGATGAAGTTTTCTATCCAGTGCATTCGATATTTTGATGAACTATGATTGCACAATGTGCATTTTTTTGCATGGCAGATGGACATGTAATTTTGTTGCTTGAAAATTTGCTCAGAAATAATTGGATCTGACGCAGAAAAGTGTTTGTTTTTTTGGAATAAGATTTGTCGATGAAAAATGCCTGACGAGGATCCTTATCGTCCATTTTTTTTTCTTCAAATTTATTTTGTGTTATATATATATCATTTGATACAGGTTTATGCGCTGATTCAGAATATACTATTTTTGTCGATTAAACATTTTTCTAAAGTCAAAAAAACTGAAGAGTTTAAGGTTTTTGAAAATCAACTGTACATTCCAGGAATATTGGTACTAATAGGAGTTAGAGACAGTAGATAGAAGAATGTTTGCAGGTTACATGTGGTTAAATTGCTCATCTTACTAAACTAGTCGTTCGAACGATACCATAGAAAAAAAATTTTTTTTTTATACAGTTCGACTTGAAGAGTCAGAAAATGTACTTGATTTGTCTGTTGAACAGTTTAGGTTTGTCAGATATCAATTTTCATGCTAATTTTTGAGCCATTGTTAAATTCTCCTTTCATTATTTTACATATGAAAATTGACTTTTTTTTTTTTAAATATTTAGGTTGATGATCATAAAATAACACCACCAAAACGTGCAGAAATGAAGGTAAATCTCTTAATGAAAGAGAATAAAATATGTTAAATGATCTTGATTTTAGGAATCAATGGAAGCACTTATTCATCATTTTAAACTGTTTAGTGAAGGTTTTGTTGTTCCCCCTGGTGCAACATATACTGCTATTGAAGCACCAAAAGTTAGTTTTAATAATTTATTATTATTTATTAAATAATTATATTTATTATTTAGGGTGAAATGGGTGTCTATGTTGTATCGGATGGTACATCAAAACCTTATCGAGTTCATATAAAAGCTCCTGGATTTGTTCATTTAGTAAATAAACTATTGCTTTGTTTAGTTTTTTAGTCTAATTTTCTCTTTTTTTTTGTTATCAATAGGCTGCACTTGATCGTGTTTCCCGTCGTCATATGCTTGCTGATTTAGTTGCTATTATTGGTACATTGGATATTGTCTTTGGTGAAGTTGATCGTTAGACAATCTACTCCCCTTGGTTGTACATTCAAAATTTTTCTTTTCAACCATCCATCGTTTAGTTTACTTCTCTTTATTAATAAAAAAATACACCTCAGCATATATATCAGAAGTTTGTACAAGATATATAAAAAAAAAATGACTAAACAGATAAGAAATAATACATATATAAAAAGTGCACATGTACAAAACAAAACAATCATCAACATTTTTTTCACAAAAAATACGTAAATTCGTATCACTATTTAAAAAAGAAATCATCAGTGGAATTTGCCATTAATAAACAAAACACAAACTATATGGAAAAGGCAAAAAGAGAAAAAACAAGCAAATACATTTAGATCATCTGTTGAGTAATATTGCAAAAGAAGCACTTGATAATAGAAGAATAAAACTGATCGGTTTGATTGAATTAGCAATAGCTATACGACATTTAAGTTGATCAAAACTTGACATTCGAGAACTATTACTCATTAATATATTCCATTGTGTATCCATTATATCGCCAATAAAGAAATCATTTTGATCAATAAATGGATATTCATAACCAGGTCGACAACGACATTTATATGTACCTAAACGAAAACCACGACCAAATATTGGTTCACACTAAACAAAATAAAATAAAAAACATAATATTATTTAACCATAATAATTATAATAAAACATACTATTGTACTTTGATAATCACAACGATCACTGCCTTTAAATGCATTCGGTATATAATGAGGCATTGAACATTGATTTATATCCAAATAACTTAAATAAGTATCAATTCGTACAACACCTCTACAATATAAACCAATCATATTAAGAGAAAACAAAAACATTTATCTTATTTTTTACTTAAATTCAAGATTAATTCCAAGTACATCAAGACCGAAAAAAGGCACAGCATAAGTAATAATCCATTGACGTGGTAATGCATAATTTCTACTACATTGAAATGTTGGTGGAAACCATTGACCATGTCTGAAGGAAAAAGTTATTAGCACAATCAAAATGTGAAATACAATGTAGCTACTTTTGCTAATCATAGAAAGATAGTTTTATTCTATCGATTTAGGAACACATTTCTTCATCCGCCAGAAATGCAATAAGGAAGTAGTTCATATATTATCACAAGAGATCATTGATATACTGTCCGTGATTGTACACCGACAATATATATGACGATCTGTGAGGGTCCTATGGTTACGTGTATCACGGTCTGTGAAGAGTTCGAAATTTTTATCCCTATACTTTAATAGTCTTTTTTAGAGCGTGTATATCACAAAATTATTAATTAAATACAAATGTTTATTATATTCTTACTTTATTTCTGGTGCATAAAAATAAAGTGGAAAACCTGATTCATGTTGGATTAATGCATTACCAGCATAATCTGCTCGAATAAATAATTTAAGCCAATATTCAGTTAATTCCGAACGATCAGCATTTGTTGCCCATCGAGCTTTCAGTGTCTAGAAACAAAGCAAAATAATTATTATAATTCATAATTATTTTCTTTACTCGAAACCAAATTTCATTTTCATAACCATCAGGTAATCCTGCCCAATCAATAACAGTATAATTTTGACTAATATCATTTTCCGTTCGGAAAGCATACGGTCCAAAATAAGGTAAACGATGATTTCGAAATTTTCCTCGATCAAAAAAAATTCCAATACCAACAACTTTATAATCACTACCAGCTGCAGCTAAAACTTCACCAATTAATTGTTCATCAGTTAAATCAAGTTCAGCTTGACGTAATGGAAAATCTTCAGCTGGATTGACAATTTGATAGAAACTTGATAGAAAATGTGATAATGTTAATGCTAAACGTGCTTGAGATTCAAATTGAATATCAACATCATGCAAAACATCACCTGGCATTGTTAATTCATCTTCAGTCATGAGTTCACATATATGTGAATTATAATTAAGACGATCATAATGTTGCATTATCGATATAACACGTGTTGGATATTCATAGGCAAAACGTTTTGAACGACTTTTTTTAATATGATCTTCATGTTTATTATTATTATTGATGAAAAATTTACTGGAAAATGAAGATATTCGATGAATAGATGATTTAAGCACAGATGATGATGATGATGTTAATAGTGTCATTATTAGATTTACTTTTGAAACTGAATAAAATAGAAAAATAAATTATTGAATATTAGAATAGAAATTGAAACCTACCAGAATCGACAAATAGTGGTAGAATGAAATTTTTACTTAGATTATTATAAATCGATCTATTTGATAGATTATCATTATCATAATTTGAACGACGTTTACGACCACCAAATAATACAATATTTGATGGATAAAAGTGTTGTGGATATTGTTGATATACTAAAAGCAGAATTAATTTTTCGAAAATTTCACAAATCAATCAAAAAAAAAACAGTCTGATTAGAATGTCTGGACCTAGATAATACCACTAGATATGTACAGCATCAAAGCTGTTCAATTCTTGTCTGAATAAGTGCCATTCAAATATTACTGATAACTATCGGTCTTGAGATTAATTCTTTTTTTATCTGTAATTTAGGATTAGTTTTGTCATGCAGACTAATAAAATTTCTTTTTTGAAACCAAAGCCAGTTATATGCGACCTGGAATAAAATGAAAGCAAGCTTCGCACGTATAGTAAAACCTCTCTATGTGAGTTCTTTCTTAATTTGAACAGTAGATACTTATTTCTGTTCTCATGATCAACCTATATTCTATCACTCATATTCAGAATGGGCAGAAAATGATGTTACGCATTACGCTATGATAAACAATGATGGAACACATAAAAAGACGATGGACTAATCATGTATATTTAATAAAAAGAAAAATAATATTAAACAATAGCAACAGTGCTTGGTGTAACATTTGACGAGGGAACTGTCTGAGCTCATATCCGCCTTTTGAGCTTGTACTAGATTCACAAGAAGGTCTTGGTAACCTTCAAAAGGTTCGTGTCCATGAGCTTCTGCAGTCAAGTTATAACCGTTTTATTGAATTTTCGAACGCGCTTTAGATATTGACGGAAATATCTAATAACGGTGTCTCAATCCAAAACTTTACTCATAAATAGGTTTGATGATTTTGAAGAAATCTTGAAAATTTCAGCCGAAAAGAATGATTCTTTGTCAAGATGTTGAGTTTCGAAAAAAAAACTGATCATTTGTCACAAAAATCAAGTTAACTATCTATGGGCCTCTAACATTTAATTCATTCTTTGCAATACATTATAAATATTCCTATCACGTGTCTATTTGGTCGATTTGTATTAAATTTAGATTCGATATCACAATATTCTAATGAATAAAGCTAAATTTTCTTAACTATTAATTAAAAATATCTTATACTAACGTTAAGCTGATATTTAATTATAAATAATGTATAAAAACATGACTGATGAGAATACTTACATTCAATTTTAAGACAATCAAAATTATTTACATATTCTTCTTGTGTAGCTTTTTCAATAATATAACCTTTGAAAGGTCCATCTTGACATGGTGGATAACGAAAACCAGGTTGACAAAGACATTGATAACCACCACGTCGAAATCCAAAACCAAATAATGGTTCACAACGTGTTGTTGGTTTGCATTTATGTGTTCCAGCAAATAAATTTAATTGATTTGATTGTGTATTTATTCGATTAATTTCAGAACATTGATTTATATCCAACATAATAAAATCAATATCAGTTACAGCAACTGCTAAATTACGCATTGATTGAAAATGTCGATATGCCGTATGCCGTGGATAAATATCAATAATAGGTGAAACAGCACTAATTATCCATTTATTTGATCGACCACAATCAAAATATGGACGTGTCCAAAGAGTTGGACCTTTTCAAAAAAAAAAACCAAGGTAAAAAATGTTATATTTCTATGTTATCTCATATGAATTAACTTACCTTGTGGATCTTCGGGATGTGGTGGCCCAAAAAATTCGATAGTTTCAGCTACATCATAAAGTTTATACATTCGTTCAGCCAATAATAATTGAACTGTATGTAAAGCTTTACCTATGAAATAAGAATAAAATTACTTTTTTTTTTTTTTGTAATTTATACGACGAAAAAATTATAATACAGTGAATGAACAAATAAATACACCAAAGTGAAGATAATATACAATAAAGAAATCGATGAATATGTGCAAGAATGAACGAGAGAGGCACATTTTATAGATAAAAATCAATAATTTTATTAAAGATTATTTTAAATAATAGCATTTAGAGTCTTGTGATTCTCTCGTTTAATTGACTAAACAAAATTTCTATAACACAAATCACCATTAAAAGTACAGAAGTCAATCACCACAACGTGAAAGAAATATACGAATAAATTAAACAAAGGAATCTAATATATATGGATTTATATATATATATATACAAAGAGCACTATACGTTTTTTAATTGCATCATCATTATCACCATCGTCAGCGGTATCGTTTTTTTTCTCATCAGTTATTTTTCGTTGATTTTTTGCATTTCCATGGTCGTTGTTAACAGCCAGATAAGATAGAGGCATTGTAAAATTGTCAGAATGAACTTCTACAAAGAAAAAACAAAATAACGAACAATAGAATAAATAATTGTTTGTTAATATTTTCATTTTATTTAAGTTTTAATATTATTTACCTTTTTCTTGATCATCTTCTTTTGGATCCGGTAACCATTTACTATACCATTCATTAGCAAGATTATATCGTGATGTATATTGATGATTACCAGCTGCACCAATATCTTCTTGTTGAATGGTATGATTTGTCCATTCATTTTTCCAATTAAATGCATCTAAAATAGAAAAACATATTGCCGAATACTTCATCAAAAAAAAACAAAAGTTTTCTTTTTAACCATAGAAATCATCTGCTCGCCAAGCATATGGACCAAATAATGGTATTGTTTTATTAAAAAAATTTTTATACCAATGTGGATAATATTTATCTTGATCAAAATAAATTCCTGAACCATTTATCATACTACTACCAGCAGTTACATCAGCTATAGGATAAAAAGAAAATATTTATTTATCTTATATATGTATAGTATGTGTTTACAATTACCAGCATTATGTAAAAGTATATATGTAAGACCGGGTTCTTCAAAATCGAATAAACGTTGAAATAAATAACTATATAAAAGTGCATTTCGATGAGCAATATTTCTTACATGTAATAACTGTGTTCGATTTCTCATAATAATATCTTTTTTAAGCATTTCAATAGATGGTTTTTGATAAACAGCTTCTTCAGGTAAAACAAGTTCATTTGGTTGTTTTTGAAAACAATTATCACGATTAACAGAATTTATTCTATCCATAATTTCATCAATTTTATCATAAGTAATCCATTCGAATTGAGAATAACTTTTATCGAATAATAATAAACATAGAAAAAGAGATATACAAATATATACAAAGAGATCCATACATAGGAATCTAAAAAAAAAAAATCAAGATTGAAAATAATACTTCTACTACGTAATTATTTCTACCAATGATTCCAGAATGTGTTTTGACGATGATGATTGTTTGTAGAAATTTTCAAGAATTCTATTGATAGAGTTAATTTAACTCTTGACAATATATGATACATTCATACTGAACTTGAACAGAATTGCATTCTAAAATAATGAATGCTTATCTTCACGGTCTTATCCACCACTTGATATTTAAACGAATACTGACATATATTATAAGATCTGGAAAGAAGAAGAAAAAAATCTTAGATGTTGATCAATAGCCCGAGCTTATTTTGTCTAAGCCGCGTGAATAATACATAGTAGAGCTTTACATCGGACTCGGAAATCTGACTCCACCGAAGTGATTGTGAAGGACTTTTTTTTAGAGTTACATCAGTAAAGCAATCAAGTATTTTTGACATATGCTAAGCAGTGAACAAAAAATACACAACTTTATAGTTTCATAAATTTTAAGAAAAAAAATCATCAGAGAGAATATTCTCATCAACAAAGTAGTACGAAAATAAGTACATATGCTAATTAAAAGAAATTTTAGAGTTTCTCAGGGACACACATTTTGTCTCTGCGGAGCTCGAATGCATTGAGTAAGCTAATGATTCGAGAAAAAACATTAGATATTCAATCCTGATCGAAAAACAATGGACTCAATGACATTTACTGTCACATAAATGCGATATGAGTATACATTTTTTTAAATCTTATGATGTAATTGATATAAGTAAATAAATTATCAATAATCAAAGAATCTTATTTCCCGCAAAAAAAAAATCTTATGATCATTACTTTCCAATTGTATCACTGTACTTGCTCTTACTTACATTGCAGATAAAAGAACATAGTGAAAAGAAAGATCGTTAAACGGTTATAAGGTCAAATGTCTACCACTGTAAACTAGTAGTGGTCACTTTTGCAATTCTTTTAAAATGTTGAACTATCTCTCAAGTGTCACCAGACTAATCAATCAGTACTCAAAAGATTTACGAAAAATAAGACAGAAAATATTTTACAATAATCATCAAAAACTAAAAATTCATTGTTTTAGTTCTTTTAAACTTTTCTTTATTCTTTCTTTTGTTCAATATGCGATTGTAGCGTTAGCATGTCTATTGGTCAAATTAGTTAACCAATTATGAAACTTATCGAGACTATTCTTTGTATTCGATGATCTTCATTTGATTGATCGACTGACGAAATTAGAAAGAAAATTTTGTATATCTTTAAATTCTAGTCAGAATGTCTACGTGGCGCAAACGATTTTCGTAAGAAATTAATCTTAATTTATTTCAACTAAATTTCTCTTCATAGACGAAAATCACAACGGCTTACTGAAAATGACGAAATTCTGTTGAATAACACTGTCAAATATCGAAGAAAATTACAAGCAGCAATAAGTCAAATCAGTCGTACAAAAAAATTTGCACAACGAAATTTTGATAGTCCTGCATCTGAAGTTCATGGTATAAAAATACATATGTCTTTTTTATTTTTATTTTTTTCTATAAAATCTTATTTAGTTGCTCGACTTATCAATGATATTGGTCAATTATCTGATTGTAAACCATTACAAGTATTATAAATTTCTAATATAAAATTCTCTGAAAAAAAAAAAAACGAAACGTTTTTCATCTTTTTTTAGGAAATTACTGGTTTAATTGATTCTTTAGCTATGCGACATCAATTATCATCACGAATATTTAATGGTAAGAAAATTTATTAATAGAAAAATTTATTTTCTTTTTGAATAATATATGAATAGAATATGCTATGAATTCACTTCAACAGTCGTTACGAAAATTAAATGATAATTTATCAAATGATTTTGATAAAACAAAATCTATGTTTGAAGAAGCTATAACCAATCATTGTTCAGATCATACAAAAAATCAATTATTAACAAAAGGTATGAAAACAAAAACAAAATGATTCTAAAAACAAATTGTATGATGCTTTTAGTACAAACTGAATGGTGTAAACATCAAAATTTAGCAATTAACGAACTTAAACAAGGTTTATCATCTTATTGTGATATTGGTTTATATAATCTTAAAGTACAAATGGCTATTCTCGAAAAACTTCAAGTAATCATCAATAAAGGACTTTGCTGGATTTGGTGATCTATCTTGAGCTAATATACCATATATTTGGTTTTTTGAAGCACCTTGTAGTGTATCGAATACTATACTGAAAATCAAATTAGTGATGTTCTGAAGGTTGAATATATATAGTACTCATATACATTGTGGTCACTAAGATTAACTTAAGTAAATTTAGTTTTTATCGTTGCTTTCTTCATACTTGAAAATGGTCTCTTTTCTTATGGAGTAGGCTATTGCTAAACTATTTGATTTCTAGTTTATTTAGCTCTGTGTCATAGACAAGATCTTTTGGAACAGCACGGGCTCATTGTCACCTAAAAAAGTCTATTTTCTTACGTGAAGGAACTGGTATTTTGCCCATACTCGATTACCCTATCAATAATCAACATAATATTGTTGATAAACTGATACTAATAACTTGTTCATAAATGGAAAAAAGGTTTTAGCATTCAAATCGTTCGAAGGAGATAGGTTATAGGAAAAAGGTCTTTTGATTATATTATGTGTTTTTTCAAATTTCTATTCCGAACACCCTGATTTGATCTCTGCATGAGACCTNTTTCTCGAAAGCAAAACACGGGAGCGCATAAGAATGTATTTCGATGCATTTTTATGTTCAAAGTTCGATCTATTTCGGTCATATATTGAATAGAAGAGCATGAATTCCAAAACACTTTGATTTGTTCATAGTTATGAGCAGAGTCCTTCTTCACGAGATACTAAACAGACAGTTAAGTATTAATACTAACCGATGGATATTAGACGATATTTAAGTAGAATAATACCGATTTCACTTAAAAAAAATCATATTTGAAATTAGCACAACAAATTGCGTCGATTTATGTATATTTCAAGCTGTTTCTGTTGTTTTGTTTTTGCTCATCGAATTCTCACCTCGGGACCCCTTCAAGGAAGTTTGAAAAAGTAAATTTAATCAAAACAACTATTTTATTGTTTAGTTACCGGTCTTTTTGTCTTCAAATAGCGCTTTGAAAGTTTAGAATTTGGTTTTCACTGCTACAATGACTTTTTAACTAAATTCACCTTTTTACATATCTCTGAGTGGAATCCATAGGTGAAAGTCTGATCAGAAGAAAGTTTGAAATTTGTTTGAAATAAAATGGATATTATTCCGCTTAAATTCCGTCAAAAATCGAGCCTCATCAACAATGAATTAAATATTTTGTTAATTAGCCCACATTTTTTAATTTGAACAAAAGAGTTCGTTTTATAGCGTTTGCAAAAATGAGCATTTCACAGTCAAAATTTAAGAAATTAAAGACTTGCATACAGTGTAGTAGATTCAAAATATTATTTTAAATCAATGGTTCTATTATGAAAATATAGCATTGAACAAAGAGCTTTTAGAATAACTGCCTGCTTAATATCTCGTGAAGGTAGATAATATTCATAGCTATGATCAAATCACAGTAAAATTAGGAATTCATAATCTTTCATTCTATATATGACTCAATTAGATTAGATCTTGAAAACAAAAGTGTTCGAAATGGTTCCGTATTTTATTTAATTTGTTTTTTTTTGTTTTCAGACTATTTTTCTTGAAAAAGATCTTCTTTTATGTGATTGTCCTGGTCTTGTTTTTCCATCATTTGTTTCAACGAAAGATGAATTAATTATCAATGGAATTTTACCTATTGATCAAATGCGAGATTATATTGGCCCTGCCAACCTTATATCCTTTTTTACTATTTGTTGATTTTATGTTTTTTTTTCTTCATTTAGCTTTATTTCTATTTCAATTTATCCTTAACTCCTATATATACGTTTGTCATCAGATTCCACGATCTATTATTTCGCATATCTATAATATTATGTTACCATTACCAAAAGAAGGCGAAGATGAAAATCGACCACCAACAGCTGTAGAATTATGTGCTACTTATGCATGTAAGAATATTGTTTTGATTATATTCATAATTAAGTTTTTTGAAGAAAAAGATAAATTAATCGAATAGAAGTAAAGAAATTTATTGAATAGATGAAAACGATAATGAAAACTGACTATAACTTAACACTTTATCAAACTGATTTTTACTTAGAACAAAAACTAATGAAATCCCTTATATCCGATGGATTGTATTCGATTATTAAATCTATCCGGTACTTCATATCTTATTCTAATCAATAATCTTAATTTGTCTAACATTCGAGCAATTAAATAGATTTTTCATTAGAACAAAAAATGGTAATATAAATCATTTTGAAAGGACAACAAATAGATTTGAACAAATAAGAAACTCACCAAGATACTAACCTATCTGTTCTTGTGAATATACAGTAAACAGAGATGAAATTCATTTTTATTTTACATTATAAAAATCCATTATCATTTCCTAAAAGTAAAAATCATGCTTGAAATTATATCAGAATTAGTGGTGTTAATACATAATATTTCATTCTATTCTTATCTTGATGAATGAGTAGTAAATCATTGAAATCAAATGATAAGATAATACATTATCTTTACTAAACTAAATGAATGATAACAACCAGGCAATATACAATTTAGATAAGCATATAAAATTTTCATCGATTTAATTTCTTTAGATCGACGAGGCTTTATGACACATAAAGGTATACCAGATGGAAGTCGTGCAGCTCGTCTTATTCTAAAAGATTATGTTAAAGGAAAACTTTTATATTGTTATCCACCACCAGGTTATAATTCCGAAGAATTTCAACAGTATTCTAATCGTTATAATGTTGACAATGATAATAATGATGATGATACTAATGTTGAAACAAATAATCAAGAAATCTCATCAAGTGAAACAACATCAAAAGTATATTTTATTTTATTTACAAAAAAAAAAAAAAAAGAAAACATTTGTTCTTTATTTTTCTAATTTTTTTCAGCAACCACGTTTTCAACCATCGGATGTCGATCAACAATTTTTTCATCCAGTAAATTTTAATATTTTGTTTTGATTTTTTTTTCTTTTATTATGTGCTTTCTTTTTAAAGACTGATGTACGTTTTGGATCTAAAGGTACACATGGTCGAATAAATTATACAAGAAAAAGTGGTCCGATATTAGCTGGTGAAACAATGAACGATTCAACGAATCAATATCCAGATGGAAAACCTTGGAAAAAACATCATAATCATAATAAGAAAGAAAAATTACGACGTTTATATCGGCATCTTGATGCTTAAATAATAAATAGTGATGAGGAAACAAAAGAAAAAGAGAAAGAAAAACAGATCTACAAATATATTAAGAATTTGCATATGAGGAGAAGAAAAAAAGAAAACATATTAGCTGTTTGCTTTTTTTTAATAGCCGGTTGATACTTGTAATGAACATATATTGATCACCGGTCATTAACACATTGTTATTAAACTATGATTTGTTTCTTCTTTTTGGTTAAATTTTATAGCTCTGTTACTCTCATAAGGGGTAAATGTGATTTAGATACTGTTGAATTTTCATTATCATGATTTTTTGTATATGAAAATGTTCGCTGACATGTATTTGTCATTGATGATTGATTATCTTGAAAAGAATCATATATATGATTATCAACAGTAACTGTTGGTGTTGGTGTTGTATGATTTGATGAGAGTTTTTTAGGAACAGGTGGTGGTGGTCGTTTTGGTGGTAAAGGTGGTCTAGAAGGACTTGATGTTCTTTCGGGTTGTATACATTGATGAATAAAAGGAATAAGTGATGTTGCTGATGAACTTTTAGTTGTTTCATGATGATCTTTTTTATTCGGAGTTCTTGAACGTTGCATTTGTGCAGACTTTGATGTAAGTTCTTTTGATGATTTTGAACGTTTAAGACTTACATCATTGACTTTTATTGGTGATGAATTCGGTGGTGATATTGAATATGTACGTAAAAGTTTTTGTTCAGTTTTATTTGAACGACGTAAACTATCATGAAATGATGATGAACGTATAAAATTTTTTTTTGATGTTTTAAGACGATCTATGAAAGAAAGAAAAAATAGAAATTTCTAATAGAAATTGAATAGATACAATTTTACCTAATGAATTAAAAATTTTTTCCATTGGTTTATTTTCATGATTATTAAATGATTTTTTTATATCTGAATTTTTTTGATTGATTGGTAATGAAATTATTGACATTGACTCTGTCATTATTGATGATGTATTTGATTGTATAAAATTAAAATAATGTTGATTTGGTAAAACTTTTAAAAGATTTTCTGATCCATTATCAATAATTTGTTTCATTCGTTGATAATTTTTATATAATTGTATTCCATGTTGTATTATTCGTATACCATTTATCCATCGTTGACATTCATCATTTGTATTTGCACATATATAATGTATATATTTATTAGATTTTTTTTGTATATGAGCATATTTAAGTGCGAAACCATATTGTGTTGGTGAACGTAATGATTCAATCCAATTTTTTGCATGATATAATTGCATATTTGAATCAAATTTTAACAAACAAATAAGATTACGTTTTGATGATAATGATTTCGGCATTCGATATATACCTGATTGACGTAGAATACATGAATATTTTTTCCAAATTTTTCGATTTTTATCTTTAATATGAAGAATACCTGTTATATTATCAGGTAGATATATTGTATTCGATGATATATAATTAGTTAGTATATCATCAGATAGTTTTTCTTGCATTGAAAAAAATTTTTTCGCTTCATTAAACATTGAATATTTAATTTCATGTTGTTGAAAACATATTCGATTATTTGTGTCACGCGACCAATAAATAACAGCATCATCAATTAAATTTTGATGATCTTCAAATATACGGTAAATATGTAAATCAGGTAAATCTTCAACAATTGAATAATTATATGTTGGATTTACATGATACTTATGAAAAAGTAATATAATTATATCAAATATTGACATTGTTTCATCAATAAGAATATTTTTTGTTGATTTATCTTCATTATAAATTTTAATAAACATTTTTTTAATATTTGCTTCATGCATTTTTGCTAATGCTAAACGAATTTTATTTTCACCAGAAAAATTTCTTAATGTATCACATGAAATAACCTTAACAAGAAAAAAGAAGATTTAATAAATAACAAGAAAATTTTATATACTACTTACACTAGAAGCATTTGATAATTGACTATTTGTTCTTAATTGTGAAATTTGTTTAAATGGTAAACTTATTGAATCAGTCGATTGTGATAATCCACTATCAGAAAAGTGTTCATCACCTTCAATTTCATGATGTTTATTATCGTTTTCATCTTGTTGTTGTTGATGATGATGAATCGTTGTTGAATCACTAACCGCTGACGATGATGAACTATTTCCTGAATCTCCTAATTCAATTTCAACATTATTCAATGTACTAGTTAGTGTAGCTAATGCTTGATCAAGTTCATCAAATTGTGCAACAATAGTTGGTGAAAGTGGTTTTTTATTACGATGAATAGATTCATGTGGAAACATTTTTGTTTGATCTAATCGCTCTTCAAGTGTATGAAGTTGTTCAAGTAACATGTCAAGATCATCTTCTAAAACGAAAAAAAGCAAACAAATAGAAATCTAAATTGATTTTTTTATTTCGATCTCGTCTCGTCAATTATTGATTGATTTCTTTTAATGTCTCACTATACTTCAATTCAATCTGTCTGAGTAGTTTTCTCGTCTTCATCTTCTTTTTTTTTCATCGACATTTCTAAGTGATGCCTGAGAATAAAACTCTTTTGTTCGTGTTCAAATACTTGCCTTTCCGATCAATCAAATAGTGACCTATATTTGTTTGCATGCATATATATGAAGTCCGTACAACGTTTACTGATGACGGCTATTGTCGATGAATGTAAATTCTTTTTTTCTTTTTTTGAATCATACTCATACTAGAATAGAAGACATTGTGGACAACTTTAAAAAAAACCGAACATCAAGAAGCTCGATTATTCATATATTTCCTTTCTGGAAATCGACCTTCACCATCCAACATTATAAAGATGTCTTAGATCTAGTTCGACAATAATAAACGTCCTTTTTTATTTCCACTCTTCATTAATCTATTCTTTACAGAATGTTTTCTATTATCTATGCTTGCATAGTGCAATGCACTTTGTTTTTTTCTCTTTGTTCTCAATGAATTATTGTGTAACTATGAATCAATATTTAGCTTTTCTTTCTTATTTATTAATAAGTAACTAAATACTAATAAGCATTTAATTTTTTACCTTGTTTAGTAATTATAATTGTCGGTGATGTTGACGCTTTATTTCGAGCTTGTCGTTCTAATGTAGATAGTTCTTGGTATGCTTCTCGAATTTCCTATTATACAAATAATTATATAAGGAAAAGCAAAAAAAAAGAATTAATTTGTACATATAATAATAAACGTTCATCTTGCTTAAAGTGCAGATGCAGATGTGAATCAAATTAATTTCCGTTTACAGATTTATCCCTACGGTTACATTATGTTCAGAAAAAAGAATAATTACAACGAACTATTGTAGATCATTATGTTGATAAACCAATAGAGGAGCGGGAACACCGACTGTAGGGTTAGTAGTGCCACGTGAAAAATAGGCTCATAAATCTGTTACATGTACATATGCCCTATTAACACACATCCGGTATAATCAAGCCCAAATGTGACAATATGACGCCGCTATATACATGTATAGATTGACATATACATAATAGATACCTAGTCATTTTGGCAGCGAGTAACTGTCTTTCTTACAAAGGACATATACTAATCAATGAAAGTGCAAGCTGACTGAAATTATAAAACAAATGTGATTATGCTTGAATGAAGAGCTAATTTTACGAGCGGTCAACAGGAAATCGGTTATATAAAAACGGAATTTAGAAAAAAAAATCTTACTTCTTTAAAAGTATTTAAATCACCAAGACAATTTTCAACAGACAAACTTGTCGAAGAATGATTTTCTTGTTCATTATTATTGTTAATATTATTATCATTGCAAATAACATATTCATCATCATTAAGATCATCATCACCTGTTTCTGATTCTTCACTTATACTTGACATTGAACATCGATGTAGATACATTCGATGATACATTGTTTTAATTCAATTTCAGTTCAAACAAAAATCTTATATCTAAAAGAGAAACCAAATACTTGAAATAAGTAAAAGAAAAGTACAACTACTCCTTCTTCTTGTTTGCTTGTCTCTCTAATACATTTGCACATGTAAGGCGATTGAACAACATAAGTCGACGTTATGATGCAATATTATGTGTGAAAATTCATAAAGAGATATATAGTAGGTACTACTTCAAGCATGACATGTAGTAAAAGAAAAAAAAGAAAAGAAAAATGACGGATGAAGAGAACACTACCAAGATTATTTCGGTTCAATTATGATCGTCTTTTCTTTTCTATTCTCTTTTATGATGTATGTGTTCAATTCAGTGCAATAGTATTCTATATGGATGTGGTCTATTCATCATTATCCTCCTCTTTGTTTTTTTTTTCGAGATGAAAAGACTCGTTAGTTATGGTGTTTATCGAAAGAAGACAATCTAGACAGGAGTTACGATAAGAATATACAATAAGGTTAATGGACTCTCCAAAAAAGAGAATGGATGAACAAATAGCCTTGATGACGACATCAAAGAGTTCACATGCATGTAGCCAACCTACCTTAGCGTTGAAAAGTGTTGCTTGCACTTTGAAATGGCTGATTTTTGAAGAATTCATCGTCAATGAATGTATGTTTGAGGTAGTGAATTATACTTTCTTTCTTTTGTTCCTCTCTCTCTCTCTTTTTTTTTTTTTTATTCTCACTATTGCTTCTTTCTATAAGCTGCTGTATTCGAATGAGAATTGTCCGGCTGGCTTTATTTTCTCTCGCGTTCTCTTTGTCTATTGTCTGGCTATCTTTCTCCCTCATCGGCTGCTTCATCATCAACAGCCTGGTGCACTGCTAGTACATATATTATATAGGTTACGTGGTAGTAATAGTGGTGAGGGATGTTAAGGGTGTGGATGGAGAAGAAGAAGAAGAAGAATGAGAGAGAGAAAGAAATCGAAAGTGTACCACATTATTCAAATATATGTATTTGTTCTTTTCCTTATCATCACTTTGTTCTTTCTCTCTTTCGCATTTTTTTTGTCGTAAAAATGTTTGTAATTGACCTAGACAAATGCATAGGTATTGTGTCTTTCATTTATATATCTCATCCTCTTCACCTTGAAGTTCAATCATCATTTACGAGTATAAAATAAAATATGACGAATCACTGAACATTGATCAAGCAGCCTAAAAAAAGATATATATTACGTAGAAAAAAAGGAACAAGAAGATGAAAGAATGTTTATTGAACAATCGAACAGATTAGAATCACAACGTATGCATAGTAATTTTTTTGTATACTATATACATCTCGAGACATGCTGTTCTATATTATTCGATCATTATATATTTTATATGAAAACACACGTAGATATACATTGAATTAATTCTCATTTAATCAAAATAAGATGAAGTGTACATAGCACGTATTCAGGTATGTATGTCTTATATCCATAGGATATAAAAACAATATGTATATTAATTCCTAGACAATTATCACTTTATTTGCGCTTAATATAGAACATTAAACCAATACAAAAAACAGATAGAGTTAAAATAACAAAAGTTTGTTTATAAAATTTATATGAATGCTTTTTATGTTCATGTAATGGCTGTTGTAATTGCGGATATTGTATTTGAATTTGTTCAATTAATTCGTCAGCATTATTTTGTATTTGTTGTATATCATTTTCAATTTGATCAATTTCGGAATTATATAAAATATAATCAATATCCGATGTTGCATCATCGTTAGGTAAATTTGTATCATTATTATTTAATAATAAATTAAGACTTGATGATATAAGATTTGTTTCATTTTCAATACGTGTTATTATATGATTACTTTCATTTAATGATAATATAGGATCATATTGTTCAATAGAATTTTTATTTTGTAGAATATCATTAAAAGCATATTGTAATTTATTAAGATCATCTTGGTTTTGTATACCAATATCATTAAGATTAACTAATGTGAGTTGATTAATTGTTTGAAAACGATCAATTAATATTGGTTTTAAATATTCAAGATCAAGAATTTCAAGAAGAATTGATACTTCAGTTTTATCCATATCTATATTGATGAAATAAATCAAACATCAATAATCTTTTGCTTTTGTTTTCTTTTGGAAGTATTTATTTCATTCAGAAGAAAATAAGAAAAACACGACAAAAACAAAAAAACAAATTAAGAAACATTTTTCTTTTTTAATGTTTTGCTTTTTTTCTTATCATTTATAGGTTCTGGTTGTTCAATAATAGTTACATTTGGATCACGTTCATAAATAAGTGTTGCACAATAATCCCCTAATTTACGTAAGCGATCAAGTTTTAGACCATTGTTTGCAATAAACATTTTCATTTGTGATTGATGATCGTTTTCATTTAAATATTGTAGAACATCAGATGTTGATAAAGATGAAAGAAGTGATCGAGATATTGGCATCGAAGCAAATATAGTTGAATCATACTAAAAAAGAAGATTTCATTAATAAAGTTTTTTTTTTTTGTTTTCTTTGAGAAAAATCAATTTTTATCATACTAAAGCATTTATTTTGCCTGGATAATCATCTGGTAATTTTGGATAATTTTGTTCAAATAAACTTTTACTCTAAAGAAAAAAGAAAAATTTCGATCTTTTTTTTTTTTTTCTATTTACTAGATCATAATCATCGACATTTGATTTTATTTGTTGTTGTAAAATTGTCCAAAGTTCTGATGATAGAAATGGAATAACTGGTCCAATCATAACTAATAAATCACAAAGACATCTTATATATTCATTTGATTGTTGTTTAATATTTATTGGAACTTTCTAAAATAATAAATTAAACTAAAAATTAATATAAAATACTAATCGATTATTTTCTACTCGTAGATAACGTGTTAATTTTTGTAATTCAATTACAGCTGATGCTACACTAAAAAAACTATCGATATAAAATGCAACTGTATAAATAGTATTTAATCGTTGTTCACGTAAATCTATTTCAATTTGTTTAAATTCTTTATTAGTTATTGATGATTTTATATTTGATTTTGTTCGAGATTCAATTAATTCAACATAAAGATTAATTAAAATTTTAAACCAATTTTGTAAACCATCAGCAATACCATCTTCCACTAAAATATAAAATCAAGTTTTGTATTTTTCAAAATCTTATATTAACGAATATGCTAAAGTAAATATTTCTCCGAATTTTTTTTTCTCAATATCATCATTGACATATGCTAAGCCAAAACACGAAATAGATAATACTGAAAGACTCAAACATAGTTAACTTTCACAGAAAAATTCTATCATATAATCAAGATAGTGAAATTTTTTTATCGATATTTGTCATGTAAATGAATTGTTTCTTATTCCAAACTTTACAAAAGTAAATGTTTTAGAACAGTAATTTTGAGACCTTGAGAAAATTTGCATTAACTAAAGAATATAAAAATGAGTACATATAACTCAATTTTATTTCAATTTAAAAAGGAATGAATGAAACATCAGATTAAAATGCTAGAATTTGAATAGAGACTTTTTCATTCAGGTACAAGGCAAGCTAAATTTTGAATAAAGTAATGTTTGAGTCCAGAAAAAATAACTTTGCAGAAATGAACTTCAATGTACATCATGACAAAGAATGTACTTGTACCTCAAAAAGTACTCTATTATATTGTTATATTTGTACTAAGCTAAAAAACGAAATTTGAAAATATGGCATGTGAGCGCCTCACATTATTAATTATCCGGTATTTCTACTTGACATTTTGTAGTAAAACTTGTGATATACTCTTGTAGAAAACTGAATCGTGAATTTCTTTGAAAAAAAAATGATTAAGGCATGTTGATGAACATTGATAAGCTATATTGAGAAAATACTTTGAAGGATATTTATTCTGATGTATTCGTTATGATAAATTTTCAAAACAAAATGTACACTAGCAATATGTAGGTTTTTGTTGTTGTGTACTTGAACAGTCTCGAAGATGGTTATCGGACAGCGACAATGAAGGACCTACACAAGGCTGACTGTCTGAATGTATCAAAACTGATTAGCATACTGTCAGTCACTTTCGAGTGAAACAAAAAGTATCGATTTTCTGAATCTATTCATGTCATATCGCTTCGAAACTACAAAAAACAGAAACACTCAAATTATTACGATCAAAGATCAAAATTCTCGATAGGGATCCGAATTCCTCTCATTAATTCTCATAAAAAACCTTATTTCTATAGACAATTAGCACACTTCATAGTGCTTAGCAGTATGCGTCGTTGTTAAAAAGTACTTATCATTTAAATTAAACTACAGTTTCTAGAATTCCACTCAGTACGATAATATCGAATAATTGACAATATTTTTTTGAAGAAACATTAAGTAGTTAAACACAGATCAGAAGAGCATCATTTGATAGTTCTAATGAGCATTCTGCTCTTTACGTTGACACTCATTGGATACAAGTAATAATTATCTGAACAGACTGCATTATTTTTAATAGAATCAAAGCAGACTGTTTAGCACTACGTTTTATTGAAAATATATGCCGTTAAGTACTAGGAGATGTATCAACCTATTTACACGACCTCTAATTTCTTTTTAGGGAAGTTAATGAAAAGAATTTAAATCTGATCTGAAAATTTCTTGAACCGAAATTCATGTAATCTCACTATGTTCTGTCAATCAATTTAAATTTTCGCAGTAGCCTACTGATTAATTTTGGAGGATCTCAAAGTAATGTTTTTAGTTTTAGTGATTCAATGAATTTTATCATTCAAATATTTTCTTTCAAATACTGAAAATATTAAGTCATTGACAGAACTTTTTTTTTCGACTTCTTTATGATACAAAACAAATCTATGGATTTTTTGTTTCTTTAAAGAGAGTTATAATTACAATTAAAATTGCGTAATGATCTTGGATGAACAAATGTAAGCATAAGTATTCTTGTAAAATCTACTCCATATTGATTAATTATTTCTTCTGGATCAATACCATTATATTTTGATTTACTCATTTTTTCCCAATCGATTTGTAGTGGTTCTTTAGTTAATGAATGTATTACTGTATTTTTATCAATTGTCATAATATTATCTTTTGAAACATATTGACCACTTGATGTTTTATAAGTTTTACCTTGAACCATTCCTTAAATCATAAATATTAATTTGTGAACAAGACAAAAAAATAATATTTTAAGAAAAAATAAAAATTTTTTTACCAATAGGTATAAATCGTTTAAATGGTTCAATAGAAGTACAAAGACCTTTCGAATGCATAAAATGTTGAATAAATCGAGCGACAAATAGATGTGTTAAAGCTAATAAAGAAAAAGAACAACTTTGAAATATTCATTCTTAAATACAAAAAAAACAGGAAAAAAAACATACGTTAATATATAAATTAATTACCATGTTCTAGTCCGCCGATATAAAGATCGACTGGCATTAATTTATTAGCAATATCTGGTTCAAAGGGTTTTGTTGTATTTTCATTATCTAAATAACGTAAAAAATACCATGATGAATCAACAAATGTATCCATTGTATCAGTTTCACGTTTAGCATTTAAATTTCCACATCTAGACAAATCGTTATTGTAACAAAACAAATCTATTTGAAATGTACATTTACTTTGGACATTGAATTTTTATCCAATCATGAGCATTAGTTAATGGTGATATACCTGTTTTTGATGAAGATTTTATATTTTTAATTGAAGGTAATTGAACAGGTAATTCGCTCATTGGTACTGGTACAGCCTGAAATGATAGTATGAAAAGGAATGATTGATGATATAAAGATTTTGACATATTAGAAGATTTCCTCATGTTAGAAGACCTCCCTCTGAAAATCGACTTTTTTAAAATAATTTCTACAGTTTATTTTTTTTTTTGAATTCTTTGTGTTCATAATAATATTTAAGTTCTGTTTAGACAATATTTTGCTTCCGTCGTCATAGCGATGTGCCAGTTTCGAGTTAGAAAAATATTGAAGAATAGCTTATAGGAAACCTATTGTGGAATCATTTCAGTGCTTTTTTGCAGTATAATCTGAGAAAACTCTTCAGATTCTATACAAAAAAAGTTTGTATAGTTGAAGAGCCTAATAGATGCGGTGCACATTCGCACGAGACACACATGGAAAGATCTTTCTAAAATAGGAACATATTCGGCAAAATCTCGTTGTTTATTAATTAAAAAGCTTCTTCACCAAGGCATTTTCTTCTAGAAATTCAAAAACGTTTTGATCAAAAAGCAGAGTATTAATAATTGAAAAAAAAAAACATATCTTCATGTATACACACATCAACGTTTGCTCTATAAGGTATTTTACGAAGCACACCCTTGAGAATATTACCTACGTTAGTAATATTTTTCACTGTAAATGAGTTTCTTCTATACTAACTATTCTAATCTTAAGATAAGCAATTGACTTAAATAGAAGATCCCGAGTCTTCGAATGTGTTAAAGGCTTTATAAAAAAAAATAAATATATATTCTTACACCACAATGATTACAATGAATTATTGGAATTGGTGTACCCCAATAACGTTGACGTGAAATACACCAATCATTAAGTTTACCGGATGTTCGATAACCTCCTAATTCACGTGAACGAAGTTCAGCCAGTAATGTTTCTAAATCCATTCTATACCAATGAGATGATGAATTAATAAAAGTTGAAATATTATGTTTATTTGCAAATGATTCATCAAATTTATTTGATATAGGTGTACCTTATAATAAAAAGATATTTTTATAGTTAGAGAATTTGTTTTCTTATTTACCTATTTGAACATTTAACATAGTCATATTTGCTCGTATTTTTGGTCCAAAATCTGCATCATCATTAATAAAAATTGGTAATTCACGTTCTGTTAATGGATGAATAGCATCAATACGTAAACGTTTTGCACCAGTTTCAGTTTCCTATATAAATAAGAATATTTAAAGTAGATTCTTTAATTTAAATTTATTTCATACTTCGATTAAATCTGGTCGAGCTAATTTATGAGTACTTTGTATATAAAGATGTGTAATATTCAGTAAAGTGTCAGGTTTTATTGTAAATGTTTCAATAAAATCATATTCACTTGTTGGAATCTAATATAATCGTAGAACGAAAAGTTCTTTATCTCTATTATCCTACCGAAAGTTTAAAGAGTATATTAACTCCATTACATTCTCCCATCCACATGCGTTGAATATTAATTAATGTTTGCCAATCATCTTTGTCTAATGTATCAAGACTATCGTGGAGAGACTATTAAGAAAAAAAATGGCATAAAAGATTGTATTTCGGAAAAAATAAACATAAAGATATACAACAAAAAAAAAAAGAAAATAAATAAACACTTAAAGCTCAACTATTCTATAACATCGTTTTAATTCATCAATTTTATAAAAAAGATGGTTTATCATATTATATGGTTGACATTCATATTTGAATGGAACAGGATATTCATTAAATAACATTCGAATAAGTATTTGTTGATTGGAAAAATAATGAGTTGTACCATTATTATGATTTCGATATATTTCCCATTGAATATTAGCTGTCATTGGTGAAACTAATTCACCACGCCAACCATTATTTTCATATGTATATGTTTCATTAATTGGTGTTGATTTATCACTTAATATAGGAATTTTTAATAGTGCTGCAAAAGGAATAATTGCTTCAGCATGAGTAAAACGTGCACGAAGAATATGTGTTGAATTAATTTGTGAACATTGTTCAGAATGAAGAAAAAAATCATCAAGTAATATTTGTGCCATTTCATGTATTATTGTTCGATCTGAAAGTCCAGGACCTTTTTCATAATATTCCTAAAAATGATTTCATTAAAAAAATTGCTTTGAAACTTTTCTTTTTAAAGAGATATTTACTTTAGCATCTTGAAGATAAGCAAACCAAGCTGATTCATTTAAATTAAAATATTTTTCTAATAAATATTCAACACCTTCTTCACGGAGATTTGGACCAATTAAATATAGACCATGAAGCATACGAACAGCATCTATTTCATTTTTTATTGATTTTCCTGATTCATTATCAATAATTAAATAAGATCCATTAGCAAGTTTATCAATAAATGATTCTTTAAATAAACGTTCAAGTACATTACGTGCCATTTTTCTTGAATATGGTTGTACTTGAATAGAACGAAGTTTGTTTTTTAATTGTTTATCTTGTTTAAAATATGTTTGATATTTAATATCGTCATAAAATGAAAGTAATGTTGGATTTGCTGGTTCATAATCAATTAAACGTTTTATAGCTATTGGTAAACCTTGTACAAATGCATCTGAACTTTCTTTTGTACGAGGTTTACCACTGTTAACAATACGAATACGAGTTGATGAATTAGTTAATAGACCATTCATAAACAATGGTAAGATACGTTCGGTTAAACGACGTCCAAGATTTTGATGTTCAATTTTACCAAGTCCAGATAGTTGACCACGTCTATTTTTTTTTTTATTAACATAATAATAATAAAACAAAAAATTGAAAAATTTACAACTTAATACAAACCCTAATTTATCATTGATAGAAATAAAATATTGAAGATCTTCACCAAATTGTTGACCATATTCTGTTAATGCTTGTTCTTCTTTTGCTTGTGTCCATAATGCCATTGTTAATTTGTCATATTTTCGACCTTCTAATGCTCGACAACCATGTCGAGCAAGAACTTGCGTACATACTAATTCAAATCCCGTTGGTGGTAATGGTAAAACTAATGTTGATGATGGTGATTTATAAGGTGTTTTAGTTGAATAATATTTTTTATATGTATTATTTGTTTCGTTAAATACGAAACTTATCATTAATAACAAAAGATAAAATATTATTATATTCATTATGTCATAGAAATACAGTGTTAGAGAGAACGAATAAATGAAAACTAATAAATAACTCTACATTATAGACGTATATGGAGAAAAAAAAAATTGTCTATTCAATTGATGATTACACAAAGGTAGGCGGAATAATCAAGGTTTTATATCGATATTTTTAGATAAGTAATAATGATCGTTCGCACGACTAACAATCTCATATGAAATATGTAAATATTCAATGATCTTCACGTGATAGTTCTATTAATGAGAAACATAATTAACTATACCTGTGTAAATGCACGCGTACGAATAAACCATTGTTTTAAATATTTTTTTTCTACGATTGCACCCGATCGCCATGAACGACCAGCTTCATTGATTTGCTCATCAGCTAAAACTGTTTGATCAACAGGATCCCAATTAACAGCAGCCTAAAATTAAAAGAAGACAAATTTAATAATCTTATAATGTTTAATTAATAATTCACTTTTTTTTGATAAACTAATCCTTCATGATATAACATAAGGAATATATATTGTGTCCATTTGTAATAATTTGGATCACATGTTGATAATTCCTAAGTAATATTCATATTAAATAATTTCATTAACAAAAACACAATTCATTTACTCGTTTCCAATCAAAACTACAACCAAGTTGTTTTATTTGTTGTTTCATATAAGCAATATTTCTATTTAGAAAAAAAAAAAAGTAATGAATATGAAAACTATTACTTGATGAAGATTATTTACTTTTTTGTCCATTGATCGGGTTCTTCTGATCGTTCAAATGCAGCATTTTCAGCTGGTAAACCAAATGCATCCCAACCAATACAATGAATAACCTAGTTTTTGTAGCAAATTAAAATAAAAAACATCTAGTTCGGTTAAAAACAACTTACTTGATAACCTCGCATTCGATAATAACGTGCTAATGTATCACTTAAAGTATATACACGCACATGACCCATATGTAAACGACCAGATGGATAAGGAAACATGGGTAGAATATACATCTTTTGTTTCTTATCATTAGCCTTTTTTGTTTTTCAAGATGAAAACAAAAAAAAATAAAAGTCAATAGGTACAAAAAATAATTTCAAAGAAAGGTTTTTTTTTACTTGTTCTAATTGATATTTTTCATGTTCATCAAATAATTTTGGTATCCAGTATTTTTCGATTTCTCTCGTTCGATCTATTGCCGAAGTTTTTGGCTAGAAAATAAATAAAAAAAAAAAAACCCTTAAATGACGTTTTCTTTTTTTAACTTTTCAAAACAAAATAAATTCTGTCTAAGGAATACAAAAATATTTGTTATTCAAATTTTGAAAACATGTCTACAGATCATCGTGACTTAACTAATAAGAGTGCAGAAGTAGCTTGATTAAAATATAGGATATGTCTGTAATAATTTGATCCCTTGAACTCATTTTATTATTAATAAAGAAGCTATGACTCTCAAATCTTAATTGTAAAGTTTTTATTTAAATGTTTGATTGATTCATATAAAGCTTTCGAAATATGAACAGACTTGTGGGATCTTCTATTCGATCTTATCGTTTACGAGTTACAAAGGAACGGCTTCTATTATGTCCTTAAAGAAAGCATTGCTTTATGTACTTTCATCGACAATTCTTAGCTCTGATTCATATTTACCCAATATATAATTAATTAACAAGTTTATCTCAATTATCGAAGGCTAGTACAACGGAAAACAAACAAATAATATCCTTTGACAGAAAAAGAAATAATCGTTGATAAAAAGAATATTCGTACAACAGTACAGTCAACATACCCTAAAATCTTTATACAATATATTAAAGCACTACTTTTTTTTTCTAAAGAACTAGATCTCTATCACTGTTAATATTTAATCTTTTATATAGCTACATGAGTTTTAAAAAAATGAATTCTTTCCAAGTCAGCGCTTTATGTTGAAGCTTGACTAGTATAGACAGAATCGATTCACAGTGAAATGTGACACTGATATAGTTATTAATTCCCAACTAACCTTGAATATATGCAGTTGTCTATGAAAAATGACAGTTAAACATACATTCAATGTTTCTTTGACCTTTTTTTTGGTGTCGATTGCAAAAAAAATGCATTATCAGACTTCGAAGAAGTAGTTTTCTTAATTATGAATGAACTCTATTCTAATACAAATACGTTTGAATTTTTAGAAGAAAATGCAAGAAAACAAATCTTTTAATTTAATTAATAAACAACGAAATTTGACTGGATAAGTTTCTATTTTCGAAAGATTAATTCATAAGTGATCTGTACAAATGCGTTAATTAAATTCTATGACCACGAGAACATTTTTTGTCGTCTAGAAAACTTAAGATTTTCTTCAGAGTATGAGCACCGAAGTGATTTCACGATGTTTTCAATAAATTGTCCTTTTGTATTAGTCGTCTCTCATAACTTTTCTAATTCGAAATTGATATATTGTTAAAAGAACGGAAGCAAATTAGTTTTATTTCAAGCAGATGTATAATGAGTACAAGTACAAGTTCAAGTATTGTCCTTGTTCTTGAAAAAATCAACTTCTTCTTCTTTAACTTATCTTTTTACAATTGTCCTTGTACTTTTACTCAAGTACGAAAAAAAGTACTTGGTATTTTACTTCATGTATAAATATCACAAACTTTGTCTTAAAAGTTGACTATTTCTGATGTTTTCTCAGGGAGGATGTCGTGAAATTATTTGATCAAAAAGTATATGAAAACAAAAATATTTTAATGAAATATTTTTCTCTCATATGATGATAAATGTACTGTAGAACACTTGTAAAAATCATTTATTTTAATCATTTGCCTTAATATTATAAGAATCTATACATATTCAGATCCATGCTCTACAAGTCAGGGCAAATCATTGTTTCGGTGTATTTTCGAATCATCAATTAGGATTTTTTTTTAAATTTTGACTGGAAGGGTTTTAATATGGAATATTGATTGAAAAATTCTTAAATATATCTTAGATCTTCCTAAAACTTTAGATTAAAACCATTAACATTTTCTAACAATATTGAACTTATAATAAATGCAGTCCTCTAAACTTAAGTCAGGCAATACACGAAAATATTTGTCTCAAAATACAAGTGAAAATACTTTCGTCCTAGCTCTAATTTTTAGAGGTAGTCTTCTAATGTGTCAAGAACTTTCGATGATTCACAATCTTTATATGTANATAACAAATTTTATTTAACATAGAAGAAAAGAGTTTAATTAATATTTGGACAGGAAAAAAAAATGGTTTCCTCTTCTTGTTGATATGGTATCCCTAGCAGTGGCAGTGATGGTTGTGACTCTCCTTTTATTTTATTTCTTTAATATGAATCATACAGAATAGAAATCATGAAATTTCTAACAAAAAAAAGAAATTAATTTTGTTTTTACAATGATGAGTAGATAATTTTATTTCTTATAATGGCAGCAAATGGGATAATATTTTTGAGAAAATTTTAGAGGTAAGTCAGTCCCTCTCTATTCTACATATGATTCATATTTATTGTCATTTTTTGGTGTTAAACACCACCCATTTTCCATTATATTAATATATTGAGTCATCCTATTTTCGACCACATAAAGTGTCCGTATAACGATAATAATTAAGTAAATTAAAATGTTATATCAAATGGCTTACATCAACCAATTCATTTTTTTGTTTGATAATCTTTTTCGATTTTTAATGCGGAAATCGTGTTAATACAATATGATAATATTTTTTTTTCTTTTATTGAAATGAGACATATTTATTGGAATTATATTCTTTAAAGATGAAGAGAATAATTAATAAGAGGTCAGAGAAATAAGAAGGCGATAGAGTGAAAATGAAAACAAAACCCGAAACCGAGCATGATGAAATTGTCAACCTGAATAAGAATAATGACTTGTAATATATGTGTACGTATCAATAATGAAAATGTTTGATTCATCAGATATGTTAAAAAGATAAGGAAAAATTGAGCAATCCTAATGAAATTAATGACCAAATGGAAAGCTACTGCTGCTTTTTTTCTTCATCCTCATTTATTTTTGAATCAAAAGAGAGTATGTATAAATTAAGTAGTTGAAAGAAACGTAAAACATAATAAACTGAAAGCGAACGATAGAATAACAAATAGAGAGCAGATCATGTGTGCTATCATAGTGAAGCATCATTAAAAAAAATGATTAAGTATTAATAAATATATACATTTCTCGTTTATAGAAAAATTTTAATGGCATGATTGTTTTATCTTTTCTATCGAAAACGACATAGAAAAGCTTCTGACATCGTTTGAAAATGATAATATTATATAATTCATATATAAAACATAATTATCATCATTTGCTTATTAATCAGAGTGAATCTATGGTGAATATTAATTAGATTGATAATTCAAATAATGCGATGAGGATTTTAAGCTTAATACCAATTAGAGCAATTTTTAATTCATAAGTTCACTATTACTATTACTTGTTCAATGGCTCAAAGACAATATTGTTCTCTTCAACAAATCTGCAGAAAACACAAACAGTGCATTGCTGATACATGAAGCTCAAATTTATTTTCATATATTGATGAAGCTTTTTTTTTGTTTCAATCTTTGCATGCATGCATAGAAATATATTCTTCAAAACTATGACCCGAAAAATACACTTCCATTGACACGAAGTAATCTAAATTGTATTCGTCTCCATCGTCGGCTTCATTTAAAAATCAGTGCTGATGTTTATGCTTCTTGAAACTATTCTTCTTTCTCTATATTACGCTTAATTACAGAAAATTAGAATTGCAACTTGTTCGACTTGCTCCTAGTGCACTCTGACCTTCATCAGTAACAATAGTGAATTGACCATGGAACTGTATCTGATCCACATCTTTGATAAGTGTAAGAGTATTGTGAATGAACAATTCTGTGTGGCAATATTAATATCTCATGAAATATCGCACTGAATCTGCATATTGGCAACACAGTTCTTATCACATTTAAGACATTTCACGCTGATAATGAAACAATTTGAGAAAGATAGAGAATTGTGACTTCAAGGGAACTCTGTAGTAAATATAGAGGAAGTGTTCAGGTTTTTCTAATTTTATGTCATTTTTCTGTCAACACTATAGTGAGATTTCAATGACATCCTATTAAGCGAGAGATCCAAGTCCGATTTTATATTTATTTGTTGAGAAAGAACCATTGTAAACGCGAAGGAAGAAGACATGTGAAAGAAAATTCGTACTCGAGATGAAGGACAACGACGAAACACATCTAGACGTAGTACAATAGGAAGGAAGAGGGAAGGTTCATGAAGCGAAAGTGAATATACATGAAGCCGGACAAAAAGTAAAAAAGAAAACAAAACAAAAATAGGAAGGATAACATTGAGAAATATACATTATATAATAAGTAAATAATAAGTGTTTATGATTGCGTCAAAAAAAGATACATATCATAAGGGTAACGTGAAGCAAGACAGTAACAGTTGATGTTGCAAGTAATGATATCTTGTCATTCTATTAACATAAATAAGTTACAATTCGTAAGAAAAGAAATATAATTTGTCAGACCATTCCATTATTTACATTCTCAATGTCTTTGAAAACTATGTCATGGTCAATTTTAATGTCACAGTGTAAATAACAATATCAAGATGCTTAAGTATTTTTCTGTCTTCATTAATGATGAGATAATATCCGTTGATTATAAAGTATTTTAAAAATATAGGCAAATGCTTATCTTAATTCAATATACTACAATAACGACATTATGTGAAAACAATACTTTCCCGTTTAAATTCTTCCAGTTATTATGTTGTTTTTTTCATCTTTCTGATAATTTTTGACAAATTATCTTAAAACAGATTTTTCTACTAATACTTTTCATTAGTTGCAATGAAAGACAAACAAATGACATGAATCTGTCAAAACAATTTACACAATACATACGCGGGTTGAAACCAGTTAAAAAATGAAATTAATCTCTTAGGAAAATCAAGTTCTTAATAGGTTA